TTCGGATGATCCAACGGCCGATGAGAATAGCGTATGGAATACGGTGACGTCCATCACGAAGCAGCGTATGAAGCTGAACATGAAGATCCTGGGCAGCTTTAGCCAGAACAGCACCTCGAACAACATGAAGGAGGACAAGCCCACATACCGGGAGCAGTTTATGCCACCAGAGACCTCGATGTTGTCCTATTTCCTGACCAAACCGCCGGCAGGTACAACCGGTAAGTGGAATCTCTGTCTCTCTCTCTCTCTCTCTCTCTCTCTCCTTTCGCATTTCTCTGATTTCTTGGGTTAAATCTCTCTCTGTCTCTCCTTCACTGCAGAATGCGATGATTACGATACGGACGACTCGCACGAGTCGGAGAACGAGGAGGAGGAGGAGGACGACGATGATGTGAATGTGAATGTGAATGTGAGTCGCACCCATTTGAAGGCCAAAGACAATACGGAGCACACCAATCCCACATCGTACTCGTGGAGCATTCTGCGCCTGGCCCTCATCAAGATCAGCACCCACAAGATCCAGGAGCTGGTGAAGGTGGCAGGAATCGAGCTGCAGGGTAGTTGTACCACCATCCATCCATCCGACCATTCATCGCCCAATAATCCATCACTAAATGTCTGTCTGTCTCTGTAGATCTTCCCGTGATCAGTCCCCTGTCGCACGAGGTGCTGCGCACCCTCAACCGCTGGCAGGAGTTTGCATTGAGTGACCTGATAGCCCGCGGCCCACCCACACGGCAGTATATTCCGGGCTGCTTTGCAGAGAGCGGCATCAATGGGCTGGCCATCCACAAGTATCGATCGCTGCTGAACAAGGACAACACACCGTTTGTGTCGGGCTCCTCGGCGGGACCCATCCGACGGCTGTGGAATTTTCTGGTGCGCCAGGAGCCCGCCCAGGAGGTGTTCATCAAGAGCATCTTCGGCAAGAATATGGAGGGGCATCATCACCATCAACACACGCGCGGCTCCCAGCACGACAATGAGACGGATGAAGGTGAGTGGTGAAGGAATAAGAAACAAATAAAGGGAAACCCTGAGTGACATGTGACCCCCCTTGCAGGTCAATCGCATTCAACCAGCGAGAATACGGACCACATACGCATCATACACAAGGATCACGAATCGATATTGTCCTTCTGCTTGAAGAACAACAGCTCGTCGATGATCGCCTTCTCCAATCCGCGCGAAATCCAGGAGTTTGACATCTCGCTGCTGCTGGAGTCGCCCAATTGGTATGAGGATGAGTGCGACTACGATATGATGAATCTGTCCAAGGATGCGGACACCAACAGTTCCGCCTTCCTCATCATACAATCACAAGAGCAGTATGTACCCCCCCCCATCCCACCATCTGCCCTCCATCATTTTACTTACACTACTCTTCACACTCGATCACACTCTGCAGGAATCAATTTGGAGGCAGCAATAATCCAAATGAAAGCAATTCCAGTACACAGAGCGCCTCGCAGTCGGGACGCGGCACATCCATGGTGAGTTGAGTGGAGGCAGAGCACGAGAACGAGCTGGAACTCTCTTGTTTGTTGCAGGTGCAGCGCCACAAGGTGGACAATGTGAAGCGCATGAGTGCTCATCCGTTGATGCCCCTCTATCTGACTGGCGGACAGGATGGCTCTGTGCAGATCTGGGAATGGGGACACCAGCAGCCAGTTTGCTCGCCGCGCACCTCTGGCACATTTGCGAAGGTCACACGCTGTCGCTTCTCCGAGCAGGGCAACAAGTTCGGCATCGGCGACGGTGATGGCAACCTGAGCCTCTGGCAGGCAGGCATCGCCTCACAGAACAATCGTTCGTTTATTGTGAGTGGGAAATGCTGCTAAAACGAAACCAATTTATGATTAAATTTCCCCTTTCTCTCTCCCTCTCTCCCTCTCGATTGACAGAGCTATCAGTGCCACAATAAGACGCTTTCCGATTTTGTATTCCTTGGTTCTTGCAGTCTACTGGCCAGCGGTGGGTTTCCTCACGGACTGACTACCACAAGGACTACCGCCTCTACTAATACTCTCATTAATTTCCCTTTTAGCTGGTCAAAGTTCCGAGAATAAGAACATCAACATTTGGGACACTCTGCTGCCCCACAAAAAGTCGTGTGTGTCAGGTATGCGATAATGCTGCTGCCCCCTTGCTATTATTTGCTGTTATTTACTGTTTGCATTACACTTGTTCCCACTCAGCATTCACCTGCCACGATCAGGGTTCGTCCTGTCTGGTGTTTGCACCACAGCATCAAGTGCTCATCTCGTGCGGCAAGCGCGGCGATGTATGCGTCTTCGATGTGAGACAGCGCACGCTGCGACATCGCTATCAGGTATGGGCGGGATCGGTAACGGTATCTTTGCAGGAATAGTTCCTTAAATGTTTTCCCTTTTTTACAGGCACACGACAGCACCATCAAGTGTATTGCTTTGGATCCCCATGAGGAGTTCTTTGTCACTGGCTCCGTTGAGGGTGACATTAAGGTACAGTGATAGCTCATAATCAATACCGGATCGGAGCAATAATTTATTTACTTATATTTGTATTTGTGTTTGTGTTGCAGATATGGGACATGAATCAGTTCATGCTGATCAATACGTTCCCCCATGAGCATGCCAAGAATGGTTTCTTCAAGCATACCGGCCAGGGTGTCAGTCAGGTGACTGTCGATCCCTTTGGGCGACTCTTCTCGTGTGGATCCGATGGCTGCATGAAGGTTCGCCTGCTGGTCGAGAAGGATAATATTGTGCACTCTCTGTATTGAGAAACTGCAAGGCTACGAAACTACAAAACCACAAAACTACAAAACAAACAAAGAAACAAACAAAAACTACATATATGTATTCTATGCGTGTTCTATATGTATTTGTGTATATCTCGTGTACATTTCTACTACGCTCCTACGCTACGCTCCTCTTTGTGTGTGTGTCCGTAACCGTAACAGTAATCGTAACCGTGACCGTATCCGTATCCGTTTCCCATTATCCATAATCGATAATCCGTTTCCGTCTTCTCTCGTCTCTTGTCTGTTGTTAGTGTTTTATGGCGCGCCTCCTGATGAGTGTCCTAATTGTTGTATTCTTTGTTAAAACGTTGATTATATGATAACATTATGATTGTATTTGAATTTTTCCTACACATTATGTATATTATTATTATTATTATTACCAACTACTATAACTATTATTATTATTATTATTATTGTATTCCATATATATTTTTTTTTCCTGTTTTGTCTATTTAAAATCTAAAAAAAACAAACAAAACAAAAAAAAAACAAATTGTTTGTCGAATTTTATGCAAATTCGTTTCAATGTTCGATGAGTATTTCCTAAACAGACTATAAACTATACAGATATACACTATATACTATACTATACTATACTATATATATATGTGGGTATATATGTATACAGATATATATTATACATACATACATCTATTATATTATATTATATGCTTTAAATCAATTATTAATTATTATTATACATATATACGATATACAAGACATTCGACAGTATGGTAATTGATATGCTTACGAATATATATTACGATCTATGTATGTCTCTTTTTGTGTTGAGCTTTGTGCAAAATTTGTCTGTTGTTGAAAATCAATCAAGATATACTTACTACATATATACTTATGCTATATACCATAATATATGTGTATGTATGTATACCTAAAACAAATCTAAATAAAATAAACTTAAAAAAAAACTAAATAAAGTGCAAATTAAATACAAAAAAAAATACGTTTAGTCTTCTTTGTGCTAGTACTGCGTCCGCGTATCAAAAGGTTAAAATATAAATATATATATTTAATATTTGGATAATGCTTTAAAGCACACTATAGGCCGTTTCCAGCTGTGCCTCTGTTAACCCAAATCCAAGTCCAAGCCCTACCCTATCCGAACCGATCCACCATCGATCAGATCTCTGTAGCTGTGAGGGTTTCCCGAAGACTCATGACTTAATACTTTATGTGACTGGCCATGGATACCTGCTGCAACCTCTTTGATTCATTAAATCACAACTTCGATTTTTATATGCCTTTTAGATATTGTTTCTCAACAGATTTAGATCGATCCCAGCCTGAACCAATGGGAATATTTCGCAACAGCAATTATGATGACACCCAACAGCCGGTCTCAGATGGTTTCAGTTCGTTCCAGATGGTCATCAAAGCAGCTCATAGCTCATAGCTATGGTCAGATCTTCTACAGTTTTACTGGCAGCCATTACTTAGCATAAAAATGGATTCTAAAACCTCGACAGGATGTTACAATTATGATAGCCCAAAGCAGCAGCAGCAGCCGCAGCCGCAGCATACACCCACCTTAAATGCAAATATTTTACGAGTGGATACAGACATACATATGCATGTATGCATGTAGGTATACATATGTACATATATATACCATAAGCGGATGGATCATTGAGTTTTGTTTCATTTCCGTTTGCCATTGAAAAGTGTTTTTCTTATTTCGTTTTTATTATTTTTCTTTGTGTGTTTGGTTTTGTTGTTGTTGTTGTTTTTTTTTCTTTGTTAGACAATCAAACAAATTAGACGCTATGCCTTATATGGGCCTTTAATAATAAAACTAGGCAAAAAAAAAGCAAAAAAAAAAGTTCATAAAAGACAGAGGGAGAGAGAAAGATAGAGACAGGAGAGAGAATAGAAATACAAACAAGATGGAAGATGGTAGCCAAAAGTGGAATTAATATGTATCGAACGGAAACGTTGGGGCATGGCATCGGCATCCGTTAAAGATATATATATATTATAGCTTCAATATATGCATATGGTAAATGGTATATGGTATATAGAGTAGGGTAAAGGGTAAAAATTAAAGTTCAAATTGAAAACTGAAAACTAAAAACTTTAAACTTTAAACTATAAACTGAAACCATGATGAATCGCATAGAAATGTTTTGTCGTCGTCAAAAGGGGCCGCCCGGGGACATCTGCTTATCTAGCCGGTAATGGTATTGGTATTGGTATTGGTATTGGCATCGCTGGGGATCGTATCGATTCATGACCTCGGTGGCTTAATTAGCTTACTGGTGGGTGGAGGCAATTTGCAGAAGCCAGCCGCATCGAATACGGGCAACAGTTCGCGCACACGCCCCGGTATCGAGCCATCGAGCATTCTTACACCGAAAACAAAAACAGAAAGCAGAAAACAAAAACAGAAAACAAAAAACAGACACAGATGAATGAGCTTTCTAGGCGAATGATCATGGGTGGAGGCGACCCTACCTCCGCTTGTAGTCAATCCTGGCGCCCTTCAGTGAGATATTGGCCTCAGTGGGAAAGAACGTGGCATCGTAGAAGTTGAGGCCATTCTGCAGCAGGATATTGTATTCGTCCATCGAGGCCAGTGTGATCCGTATGACGGCCGGCGGTAGCTCTCGGCGCTCTGGGCGCTCGGCCTTATCGATCGCATCGCCCACAACGGAGCCGCTCAGGCTGCCAAGTATCTTCGAGCCGCCTACGAGATAGATCATTAATGGGGGAAGAATTTCGAGCGCCGATTAGGAATGGGGGGAATGGGGGGAATGGAGGATGGGGCAGGATGGGAATGAATTTCGTTCGAATTTATTCGAGTGGTTTTTTTTTTGGTTACCAATTTTGGAGAGTACATTACTTCGGAGGGCAGCAGCTCTGCGTAGTGTCTGCTCACCTTCCGCACCCTTCTCCGCACTGGCGGCAGCGGCGGCTGCGGCTGCGGCGGACGAGGAGGCATTGGAGTTGACATTGCTGCTGCTGCTGCTGCTGGATGGGCTCGAGTAGATGTGCAGGCGCACCACCTCGACCACCGAATCGAACTTGTACATGGCATGACGGACATCCTCGACGGGCAGATCCTCCGGCACATCCAGTACATAGAGCGTGAAGGTCTTGCGCGGCCGACATGGTATGGCAATCTAAATGTGGGCGGGCAAATAAAGGAAGGAAACGGAAACGAATCGGCTTCAGGCTCATTACATTATTCACACACAAAGATTTGGGGGGGGCTATGCTGTGTCGTGTTTTTTTTTGGGGGGGGTGGGGGGTAAACACTAATTTCGATTGGAGATTTTATTTCTCTTTTCGTTGATTTTTCCAACCCATCAATACTCACGCTGCGCGAGAACGATTGCTGCAAAAATGTTGGAAATGGAAAATTTGCATTTTTCACTTGTCTGATGGAGATGGAAATGGAAGTGGAAGTGGAAGTGGAAATGGAAATGGAGGAGGGATGGTATCTTTTTTGGGGTGAGGAGAGAGGGAGAGAGAGAGAGGGAGAGAGAGAGAGAGAGTTGTGTTGACTTGGCTCACCTTGCGATAGAAGCGCGCTCCGGTGACCTTGTGGAAGCCCTTCTTGAACACCGCCTGGTAGTCATCTGGATGTGAGAATTTAAATAGAATTCCTGTAGCGGTTTTCGTCAGGCTGAAGCATCCCTTGAAGCTCATCTTCTCACAGATGAGAGCAGCCCGTTCCATGGATAGTTCATAGGAGGGTGTCAGTAGGAAGGCGCCTGTAAGTACGATGGGTACGATCGGTGTTAAGAGGGTTACATGCGCATCATGGTGTGGTGTGGTGTGTTGGGGGATTAGGATTCGTTTCTCACAAAAAAAAACAGATGAACAGATCATCCTCATGCACAAAACAAAACAAAAAGCAGAAAAACAGAACAAAAAAAACCATAGAAAATAAATCCAAAATGGGATGGAATGAAAGGGGGAATCCACCTTTGGTCAGAAAATTATCTGGCGATGAGACCTCAGAGTCCGAATCATCCTCCCGCTTGTCGGTCCATTTTGGCTCCGAGGAGAGCTTGTGGGCGGCCAGCTTGGTGACGATGCCCGTAGGACGCTGCCGCGGATACTCATTCTTTTCGCACTCCAAGTCCGATGTGTTCCCAATGTTCCCAAAAGACATATTGAAGACCGACTGCGACTACGATTGGCGATTAGCGATTACGATTAGCGATAGGGACGGGACGGCAGGGCAGCAGCGACAGGCGACAGACGGTAATTTGGAGACAACTGAAATGTTGCAGAGCTTCCCAAGCGCTTTTATATGCTTCGATGGGCCCGCCGGTCGCCGGATCTTGACTCGCATCGCATCGCATCTTTGGCTTCTAGGTTTGGGCTTTTGTTTGATCAGCGAAATGAAAGTCCCATACACAGACACGCAGCCATGTGTATATGTGTGTGTGTGTGTATGGGCGTTATGCGATCACATCGGATGTATCGTCTCTCAAATTGGAAGTTGGTCTTACAATTAGAGGGAGCGACAGAACGAACACATTATTGTCTGTTATTGATCCTCTCCATCTCTCTCTCTCTCTCTCTGTCGCTCTTCTGGTGGGCGATGCTATGCGTTGAGGTTCGGTTTTGGGTTTGGGTTTTGGGATCGTTTTGGTACGGTTCGGATCGGATCGGATCGTATCTGGCCCAACGATTTGCAGGTTGACGCCATCGTCAAGATCACACACTGCGGCGCCAACTGTTGCGTAAAATTCAAGAACATGGCTGCGGCTGCCACCTCCCCGTCCACCCAACCCACCTAAAATGGTGCCAAATTATATAACGACTCAAAACGGTGATCAAATAAATATGGCGGCCCAGATCAGATGGCAGCAAAAGGAGCCCAAACAGTCCCTATGGTTGCTTGCCCAACGATTTTACGGCGAATTATTCAAGGTATTTGGTGGAAATTATCCAACCAATCAATGTGCAGATTTATATTCCATAGCACAGGCCTAAACGCATCGTATTCGTGCATTAAATGTTCCATTGTTCCTATTTTGGCTTGCATTTTGGAATAATACAGAGTGAAGAGTGGGTGACGAGGCTCATCGCCTGGGCTGTTCTATATAGATATATGTCCAATCTGCTTAGAATACCCTCAGCCCAATCGATACAAAAACAAAAGAAAAACGGAGGCGTGTGGTCGTTTCTGGGACCCTTCTTATACCCACCAGTCAGTATATACATACACTTTTGAGCTTATGATTTTTTAAATTTAAAAAAAAAAAATTTACATTTTACATTTTTTTGCGCTATTTACATCTACATATAAATGTCTATTATACACTAACATGTAGATTGTACTGTTCATTCATATCACATCTCCCCGCGTGCCGCGCACTGAACGCGGCAGTGTGCGGCGAGAAGGAAATGAGTTGTGTTGTCGTGGGCGGAGGGAGGGGAGCAACTGAAAATTAATTTCGACTATATTTTTCAACATGTAGATTATAGTGTACTATTCATAATCTTTTCCGCTGGGTGCGCGCACTGAACGCGGTAGAGTGTCGAGCGGAGGAAAATGGTTTCGTTGTCGTTTGTTGGGGGAGGGCAGGGGAAGCAACTGAAAATTAATTTCGTCATTCTGGCTATAATTATGTCCGTCTGATTCAGTTCGGCAGTCTGGTAGTTGGGCTCTCTACGATACTCGTTTTAGTTTCTTTAAATTGTGCCTGCCCAGTTTTCGCCTTGGGGGGCGGAGGGGCGGGGCGATCATCCTGTAGCAGTGGGATATCACATGAGTCTGGAAACCAAATTTGGTTGCCCTAGCCTTATAGTTTCTGAGCAGGCTCACGAGACAGCAGACAGCAGACGACAGCAGCAGCAGCGCGGACAGCAGCTGGCTATATCGCTCGGCTATGATGCTATCAAGATATATATACTTTAGGGTCGGAAACGTTTCCTCCTGCGTTACACACTCCACTTACCAATCTAATAACCCCTAACTCTTTTTGAGTACGGTATAAAAATTTTTTTACATTTTACTTTGCTACCAGCTACAAAACAATACATGATAATACATCTAACGTATTGTACTGCATTTAGCTACCCCTCCCTGGGTTGCTCGCGCACTATGCGAGCGAGAAGGAAATGAGTTGCGTTGTCGTTGGCGGGGGGGGGGGAAGCAACTAAAATTAATTTCTCATTCTGGCTATAATTATGATCCGATCTTATCAGTTCAACTGGGATATGGCATTCCGCCTTTTTATCGATCTTTAAAACCGCCTCCACAGATTTTCGTCCTTTGTGGGGGCGGGGGGGGCGGGGGGAAATCCTAAAAATTGGGGGATATCACATGGTCTGGAAACCAAATTTGGTTGCCCTAGCTCTTATAGTTCTGTCGGGTCATCGAGACAGACAGCAGACAGCAGCAGACAGCAGACAGACAGCAGCGGCAGACAGACGGCTATATCGCTCGGCTGATGCTTCAAGTATATCTATGGGGTCGAACGTTTCCTCTCTCGTACACACATCCACTTACCACAAATCTATCCCCTTAACTCTTTTTTGAGTACGGGTATAAAAAACCAACAGTCATTCGAAAATGTATTCGCTTTAGTTTTATGTCATTTCATAATATGTGGTTTATTAATAAATTATTTTATTTAAATTAATTTTGTCAGTTTGGTTTTTTGTTTTTGTCATTTGGAATATTTATAATATTTTTTGCATTTGTTTCGTTTGCATTTGCTGTTTGCTGTTTGCATTTGTTTTGCCTCTTCTCTCCTTCGTTTCGTTTCGTTTCGTTTGAACAAAATGATTTCCAACCATCGCTTAATAATATTATAATAGTACTCATAATAATTAATAATCATCTACTAAAGTGTTTTACATGGCAACTTTAATTTTCATATTCAATTTTCATTTCATTTGATTTCGGTTCCGTTGCATTTCATTTCATTTCGGTATTGGATTTTCTTATTCTTGTTTCCGATTTCCGTTTCTGTTTCGGCATTAAATTGGGGGGGGGAGGGGTGGGGTGTGCTGAGAAGTTAAAATAAGGTACAAACGTTCGGAAGGTTCGGCAGGATTAGCCAAACTGATGAGATATACATAATGATGGAACGGAAAAGCAAGCAAAGTTTGTTGTTTGTTCCGATTTCAGCTCTAGGGGGGATGCTTTTCCTTTTCATTTTCCAATTTCCTTTTCCATTTTCTTTGCTCTCGCAGAATGTTTTGCAATTGTTATGTTTTATATATATATGTATGTATATATAATCTTTATATGCTGTATATTTATGGTATATGGGTGTGGTATATACTATATATGGTAATATAAGCATTTTGTGTGTGTGTGTGTGTGTGTGGTGTGTGTGTGTGTGTGTGTGTGTGTGAGGGCAGGAATTACAATCGTTCATTTTATATATTAATATTTTCTTCTGTGGAGAGTTTATGTTTTTGCTTGCTTAAAGGAGTTGAAGGGGTAAAGGAAAGGAACGGAAAGGGAAAGGAAATCATATATCACTAGCTTTTAAAAGACATTCGCCTGCTGCCAATAACAACAATAAGAATTGAGTAATCATTAATCTGCACCTTTTATCGTTTATCGTTTATCTTTATCGTTAATCATTAATCGTTTATAATTAATCGTTATCTGGGGTAAGCACACATTTACATACTTACATACATACACATACACAACAACTACGTTAATAACCGATAGAAATGTTAACAATTATGCGGCGGATCGATCGATATACGATACATACATATCGTTGCATACATATGTGTATCGATACACTTTACTATATATTTAGGTGTGTGTAAACACTCTTTGGAAGGAGTGGGGGTTTTAGGGCGGTGCAAATCAGCTTTGGGGGGTAGGGCGTTGGGCGTGGGGATTGGCATTATATTGAAGCAGGGGGGGGGGGGTGGGGGGTGGGAGTCTCTGGGGATTTTGTGGTTGGCCAGGCAGGTGGGACATTCATAGAACTTACATGGCAAAATATCATATACATACATACACATATTGTTTGTTTGTATGTTACTTGATTTCTTGTTTAAGTGGTTTTCCATTTTCCAAATTGCTTTAATCGTATGTTTTCCGTATTGTTAATGGTATAATTCGAAGCGAATTTATCTCTCGTACACACACATACATATACTATACATACATAGGTATATGTACTATATAGTTGCTCCTATTCGTATGCACATAGCTTAGATTTTTTCTTTAATTATATATATTTTTTTCCCATTTTTTGCAATAAGCAGCGTAAACAATTTTTGTGATTTTTTTCCTTCCTTTCCATCCTTCTTCATATTTTTCTTTTCTTTTTGTATATATAGGTATATGCTGTTTGTTTTTGTTCGATATTTATTTAATTAGTTTAATTTTTGTATTTGTTTTGTTTGTTTTTTTTTTTTCATAATTTATTTTGGATTACACTTAGCCGGCGCCTGGATGCCATACATATAATGGATTATTAACTATATAATGTAATGATTTTCCACGATTAATTGGGATACAGTAAACAAAAAAATTAAGAACAGAAATCTCTTTCGTTTTACATCATAGTTTTAAGTATATATTTCTAATGTTTCATGTTTCAGTGTGCATTTGGATATTACATACAAAATACATACAGCCTAGGCTTAAGAGGGGGGGACGGGGGCGTCGGCGTGGTTAAAAGCTGATTTGTGACTATATATATATAAAACTATCAGTGTTGTGTGTGTGTGTGTGTGTGTGTGATGTGGGGTGTGTGGGTGTCTGGTGGTTGGGTGACCAAAACGAATTGAACGCCTTAAAAAATGACTAGAGAACATCATCCATCCATCATCTAACATCTGGTGTGTCTTACTAAACAATATAATAATATATATACATATATATATATATGTACTTTCGTATAGGTTTATGCTGTATATAGATACAAAAAAAAAAATATAAAATAAAACGGTATATTAAAAGTCTTTGCATTGGAATCGTCGAACATATAGATACGATACGGTTATACATACTTAGATATAAACAGATTCGCGAAAAAGCGAATCGAAGCCAAGCATTTGTATAAATGTAGAGTGTGTGTGTGTGTGTTTGCTGTGTTTCCTAGCCTCTCCTATCTCCTATCCTATCCTATTCCTACTCTTTCTCTCTCTCTCTTTCTATGGCTTTCCTTTTGTGAAATTTTACTATAGATGTGTGTGTGTGTGTGTGTGTACTAAGACTACATTTTGGAGGGAGGTTCTTCTAACAAGCAGTTCTACTCGTAACTGGAGGCTTGTGTGCTAAGCTCGGGGCATGCCACAACTGTTCGATTGCGTTCCCATTGATTGACTTCACTGTACATGTGTGTGTATCTGTATTTGTATCTGTATATATATATTTATCTGTATATATGGCACTGGTAAATGCTGGAAGCTTCAATAGGCCTAAATCTCTCACGTGCACCCAATAAAATGCCCAAATGGTGGCAGTAGTGCAGCTCGACTGGGCGAGTCACTGGGTATCTGGGTGGATGGTGTGTTAGGAGCAGGACTAGGACTAGGACTAGGGCCGTGTGCAGCAACTGGAGGAGTTCCAGCCATACGTAGGGCGGGGACTTTGACAAACAATTGAAACTAATTTCTATATGCTAATGATATTTAAATTCAAAATCAATTGGATCTTGTGTGTTCGGGGGAGTTCATTTTCAGTCGTTTCGATTGATAGAGAGCAACTGAGGATTAATTTTGATAGGTGTACAGTGCGTCATCATTAGAATATTTCGAATTATGAAATCACTCTTAATAGTTATCGATAAAGGATCGGGCAAATGCTAGAGAGGTTTCATCAAAGGCAAACTTCTTTTCGGAAATATGTTCGATTTGACCTCACAGAATAGAACCTTCAATTTGAACATTCTTTTGCCAAATAAGAAGGTGTAACCCAGAAGTGTCTTATTGCTGTGAAAACGCACTGTAAGTTGCCCATATTAAGTATATTATGTACATACATTATACATAGTAAGTGCAATAATTGTCCAAAAGTCTACAAATTGGTTATAAATAATGTGTGTGTGTGTGGGGTGGGCTTTTGCATTACAAAAAAACAGATAAATTGCTTAAATTTCATTTTGTTACACTTTTTGTTTCGTTTGTTTTACAATTGTTTGCTGGTTTTGGTTTTGCTTTTTCCCTTTATCATTTCGTTTCAGCTTTGTTTTTTTTTTTTTTTTTTTTTTGGACGGAACAATTTACAACATATGATTATGAAACAATGATGCGTGGTGTGTGTGGTTCAACAAAGGGTCTGTGAAGCACAAGAACGTAATACTTAGATGGCCTCTAAACTATAAACTAAATATGTGACACTGTGAACATGCATTTAATAAATATACTATATACTTTATATAGAAGTAATTGTAGTACAGTGAACAGATCTTACAACGAAATTGAACAGACTTATACAGCAGATGACGAAAAGAGACAATAGACAGACAGACGGAAAAAAGAAAACTAGAGATACGAGTACTAGAATAGATTATGTCTATGATTTACGATTGGCTAATGGAATGAAGTAGCTTTAGCGGGTGCTATATGTATGTGATATATGTGTATCCGAATACATCTGTAAGTTAGTGTGTAGAGGGCGTGGATAAACGAATAGATACAGTTGCAGGATGCAGTTTTACACATAGATACAAAGATATACACGTATGCGTACGTATAAAGAGAGCGCGTGAATGAATATATACTTATCTATGTATATATTATATAGTATATATGTCTGGATATACATATTCGCGATTATGCATATATACTCGTAGGCATTGTGTGTGTTTTGTGTTTGTTTAATTTTGCTATTCAAAATATGGTTTAGGGCATCAGTTTTTCTGGTTTTTGTTTGAATTTTGCACTTGGTAATAAATACAGTAGTCGTAATCATAATAATGGCAATAATAATAGAATAATATTAATAATAATAATAATAATAATAAATATTTGCACGTATGCTCTAAATATTGGTAAATTTGTTAGATAAAGCTTGGATCGCTCAGTAATATCATATAATATTTGGTAACACATTTCCCCCATCCATACGGTTTTTTGTTTTGTTTCCTTTCGTTTCGTTTCATTTCCTTTCTTCAACGCATTGAATCGATCAAATAAAGCTCATAAGCGTCTATATATCCATTTGTTTGTTGTTTGTTTTTTGTATGTGTGTGTGTTTGTGTTTAATTCTTGTTTTTGTTTTCGATTTTAAGATTTATGATTGGTATTTTTAGGTGATAAAGCAATGGGTTTTTTGTTTTCTTAACTCCGCCGTTTCGTTTCGTTACACGGATAATGCTTGTCCGGTTTTTGTATTGTAGCTTTTTCTTTAAGTTCATTTTTGTTTTTGTTTTTTTTTTTTGTGTTTAGCGCGCACTTTATATAATTATAAATATATATATATTCATATTTATCGTTTACATACATATATATATATATATATATATATATATATATGTTATTCAGTTTTTAAGTTCTAGCGACTTTTGGGAGCGGTGCCCGGCACATTTTGTGGAAACTTCTCCTCTCTGCTATTCTCTCTCTCGCTCTCTGTCATTATATATTTATAGCTCGCTTTCCCTTTCTATCCTATGGCACACACACAGAAAATAGAGAGACTTTCGTATGATGATTCGACGAGAAGTATTACAATTTGTAGGATATGCAATCGGTATAATGATCGGTGTACCGAGAGATCGTGTGATTTGTGTGTGTGAAAACTAAAGCAGCGAATGGATATGGCAATTTTCTAGATGCTGAAGCGGAGTGAAAAAAATGGCATTTGTTTGTATTATTTTTGTTTTTGGATTAAGCTATGCTTTTGATGGCTGATCCTTAACTACGTCGTTTTTATACTTATATTCGTGGGAGGGAGGGAGGCAGGTTCAGGGTATGCTGCATCCATGAGTTGTGTGCATATACCATTGTGTGTGTCCGATTGTGTCAAGCACGCGCTCCTCGAGATACATTTTGGATTTGTATCTCCCACATTAAATATACATATATATATATATATATATATATATGCTTTAAATATGAACTTAGCCTAGCAATAAATATGGGTTTTTGTTTTGTTGTTGCTTGCACTGCTCCTTCTCGTACTCCTCCTCCATTCCTTCCCATGCTGCTGCTGCTGCTTACGTTTCCCACTTGATTTCTATTTCAGCATTGGATAAGCCATTTAGCCCTGGGTGATGGGTGTGGGGAGGGGTTACGTTACGGTTACTCCATTAAGAAAAAGGTATTGCTAGAATTGCGTTCAGATGCCGTTTGAGTGTGTCTGAGTTTTGGTGTTACTTGTCCCTTAGAACTGCCTGCTCTCGATATTCAGTGCTCCATCGTAGGCATCAAATGCTGTGGGTGCCACCGCTGCAGCAGCACCAGCAGCATCAACATCAGCATCGATCTCCACATTCTCCTCCTGGGGCAATGATGATATTGTGCTGGTTGTTGTTGTTGCTGTTGTTGCGGCTACCAGCTCATCGAGCATTTGCATCTGTTTGCGCGTAGGCGTTGTCATGGGCGTGGCCACATTCTGATATTGATGATGGAACGTTGACAATATTTCGCGAATTTTAGCAATGATCTCTTGCACTCAGGCATTTGATTCCTGCGAAAAAGTCGAGAAAAGGCGATTATTAAACATCCTCTAAAGCGGCTGGGACTTCTGCTCCCTTTGCTCACCTTTAAATTATCAAAGTAGTGCATGATCTGTTCGTAATCCATATCGAGATCATCCAACCCGAGCCGCTCACCGGGTGTCTCTGTATCATCGACGGTGGCCGAGAACATGGGATTGCCCACAACGGTGGCACGCTTGACGCGCGATGATTTTGTTGTGGGCACCGGTACGGGCACATGACTGATGGCACTGCCACTGGCCGTCGATGGCAGCCGCATTATCTCATCGCTGCCATTCGAATTGGCCGCATCCCCAGTGCTGCTAACCATGCTGTGGTTCTCTGTAAAAACAAATACATAATATTAGCAAGCGTTTGTTGTTACTTTTCTCACTCTGGGATATTTTACCCTTGGCTTTTTGGATAGCTGTGGACATGGACAGGGCTGATGCGGCGGCTGCTGCTGCTGCTGCTTTGGTTACTCTCTTTGGTGTCAGCGAATCAAATTGAAATGCATTCTTCTGGTGTGGATTTGTGTACTCCACTAGCTTCTCCGCATTGTGCAGCTCCTGCTGGTGCTGCTGCAGTTGTTGCTGCTGCTGTTGCTTGATCTTATTGTGTGCCGCCTTGATGATGGCACCTGCTGGCTCCTGGCTATGGCTATGGCTATGACTGCGCTGATGTTGCGGACGTTCCAGTGGCTGTTGTTTCGGCTGCTGATTTGTGTTGTTATTATCGCTGGCATTGCTAATGCTAATGCTATTGCTGCTGCTGCTGCTGTTGTTGTTATTATTATTATTGTTTATGATGATGTTGTTGCTCTGCAAGTGCTTATAGAGCTGACTATGTCGCTTATTGGCCACCTCCTTGGATTAACAGAAATCATTGTAAAAACTCAGATTCATCTAAATATATTCTTCCGTGTCATGTTCACTCACCTTCACTGGAACTGGAGCTGTAGCCACTGCTGCTGCTGCTGCTGCTGGCTGTACAATCGGCAGACACGCTCTCGCCCCCACATTCCTATGCGGCGGCACTGGCGGTTTATAGTCCAGGGCTCCTCCAGGCAACTCCTTGCGCTCATTGGCCAGATAACTACAACAAAAACGGAGGGGCATAGGATTAGTTGCCGTTTCTGGCAAAGATTTCAGGCAGCACTCACTGATCGGCATGCTGTTTGTTCAAATTGGAGGCTGGCACAATATGCGTTTGCAGTTTGGGCTGCTGATCAAAGGAGCTGACGCGACGTCCGTTATCGTAGTTGATGATCGGATTGCTGGTGATGCGCATGCGGGAATCTACACAGAAACGCAGAAAGATCATTAGCTATGCAGCCCACTCAGAGGCTAGATATATCCTGCTTACCGCGTGCATTCAAATGTGTATTGGTTTCTGCCACCACCGACTGCCTATCGATGGTGGAGCGTCCCAGCCAGACCCAGTCATGGGCATTTGTGGTGGACTCCTTGAGGCGCACATCCCGGAAACCACCACCAGATATGCCAGCGCCTCCGCCACCGCCACCGCCCTTGCCCACCGACAATGGATCCAGACCGGACTCAATCATTGCCGGTCGGAACTTGGAGGCGTACACCACGCACGAGATCACAAAGACAATGATGGCAAAGCAGAAGGCAGTTAGAAGGACATACATGCCCAGCTCCATGGAGGACATGGGTCCAGTGCCGCCGATGCCGCCCTTGCCATTGAAATGATTCTTGTGCGAGGCCTGAATGCTGCTGCTGCCGCGATGCTGTCGGGCCTGAACAGTGGGCTCATACTGTTGGCTAGAGTCACGCAAAGGTATTCCAACTGCAACACAAAAATTAAATTAACGAAATTTGAGATTTTTCTGAAAGAAATTGGGGCATGAGGACGCACCAATAATGTCCGCCAGATCGCCAGCCGTTTGGCGGAAACTTTTGCGCTCGCCACGGCCCACAGTGCCATCGTTTTGTATGGCCTCCTGTTTGCTGACAATGTCCACATTGTTGAAGTCCACCTCGATGGAGGCCAAGGCGCTGGCCAGCGGTGCCACATTCGATTTGTTCTGTTTGCCGGTGCCCAGCGTGCTCCTGCGCGTGCGGCACTCCTCGGAGAGCAGGAGCGTGACACGCAGCAGATTGCCATTGCCCTCGCCGACGGCAATCACACGCGGATGATGGGAGGCCAGCATGGGGGCAAAGGCCACCACCTCAGTATCGAGACTCTCCACCAGCAGGAAGTAGTCCTCCACAGCAATGTCCCTGTAGAAGCGGGCAAACAACAGATCAGCATGAGATCCCCAATTAATGGTTTGTATTCCCGCGCACATACCTCAGGGGGGTCTTGGAGCCATCATTGAACTCCAGATCGATGTCGAGCAGCCCCTCCTGATACTGGGCCGTCAGCTTGTGGGTCACAGAGGTCTCCGCCAGGTAGCCGTTCTCAATTGTATTGTCCGGCGTGATCGTTAGCTGCAGTCCCGAAATCACGCGAACAATAAGCTTCGAGAGGTTTACCTTGTCGCTGCCCACACGGATCTCCTTGGTGCCAATGACACGGCCAGTGATTGGCGATAGAACCTGCACATCGGTGCGACCCATGGACTTGCCCTGCAGTATGCGGCCCTTGAGCGTGGCAATCTTGGGATCGGCCACGCGCAGCAGCGGCTGCACAAGATCCGTGACCCGTAGACCCGTTCGCCTCGAGATGAAGTAGCTGGTGCGTCCCGAGTTCTGTTCAGCGAAGGAGCAAAGGAGAGGTATACAAACAGGCTTAAAGGATGCAAAGCGGCAGGCAGCAGGCACTCACCTGATCGACGGCCAAGAACTTGGCATAGACCTCCACGGGACTCTGCTGGTAGCGTGCCCGACAGATGGTCTTGTCTGCCCCAAGATTGTTGTAATAGTTGCTGCCGTGCTGCCCCTGGCTCTGGCCCCACACATACGAGCGCTTCTTCCGGCGACGCGATTGTTTATTGTGTCTTCACGAAAATATAGAGGGAGAGAAAGAGGAGGGAGGATGAGCAGGTGCAGAAGCACAATCAGGATTAGCAGTGAGACTCACAGATAATGATTATCATCCGTCACTTTCCAGCCCTTGATCTGCGACAAACGATAGTCGGCTATGTAGACCTCCAGCGGGAATTCAGGCATCCAAACAATGAACTTAGCAACGCCCACATAGGTGCCATATTTGACAATAACCGAGGCATTCGAGGAGCCACGCTGCTCAGAGCCATCCACATAGACAGAGCTGCAGGAGGAGGAAACCTTAATCACACTCTCATCCTCCGCATGACAGGAACTCTGGAGCGTCACATCGGCCACCTTGCCCGCCTGGGAGACAATGAAGACCTTCATGGCCTGGGCCACCTGGCGTCCGGTTAGAACGGCCGTGTTCATCACCTCCCAGATCTTGGCCATTGGCAGCACTGCCTGGATGTCATCCTTGTTGATCTCCAGCTTGGCAATCAGCCGCTTCTTTGTGTCATCTGTGGCAATCAGTTCGCTGGAGTCCTTGTCCTTGGGCGTGTCATAGACATGGGTGACAGACCACACGATCTTGCCGCCATCCACAATGTCGTTGGTGTCCTCGGCCACCTCCAGCAGCCAGGAGAAGACCTCAAACGATTCGTTGGTTAGATTCCCAGCCATGGCCGATTCTATGCTGGATTCCTGCTCCTTGCGGAAGGCCGTGACCCGTGCGGTGGTGTGTTTGGGATTCTCCTTCTCAATCGATACGCTCCACTGATCGGTGGAGGCGGTGGCGCCCATGATTCGCAGTCCAGCCTTGACTCGTGCACGCACGGTGAAGGCGGCCACCCGCTGATCCACATACTGGTGCAAAAAGACGGGGACGTGGAGCTTGGACATGGGATAGAGCGGATGCTGGGGCAGCAGGAAGGTGACCGAATCGTCGGCACGCAGCTCCTTGAACGGCGTCTTGGCGGGCATCAGGGGCACCTGGGCGAATGTGGTCAGCGGCTGGATCTGGACCTTTGGTTCGCACTGCTCCGGATTGCGCAGCGGTGGCTCAAAGACGCTGTACGAGACCTGCGCATAGCGTTGCGGCACCTTGGGTGGCAGTGCTGGGGCGTTGTCCTTGCGCTGGGGCGCTGGAATCGCTGGCCACCAGCTGAGGGGCACCACCACCTCGGCCACACACACCCCATCCTCGCCCTCGGGCATGCAGCGGCCCTTCAGCGGCTGTTCCGTGCCCATGGCCACGTGCAGCAGAACGCAGACCTTCTGGCGCTGCAAATGACCGCCAGGGTCGGCGCCAGCATGAAAGAGGACACGCAGCACGGGCGAATCCTGGGACACGCTCGCCCTAACCAAATGCGCCGAGATATCCAGATGCATGTTCGGTTGCTGCAGCTCCAGCAGTGTGGCGGTGGAGTTCTGCAAGCGTTGGAGTAGTTGATGAGATGATGCACGGCATCCCCCTCCCCCCTGGCATTTACTTACGTTTATGTAGTCCCCTGCTCCCTGGTTGTTGTTGCTATTCTGGTTGTTGTTGTCCATTGTGTCCGGCACAATGTAGCGGGCCGGCACCGTCTGCTTGGTGGAGAATGGACCATAGCTGGCGCGTATGGACACCGGCTGTGTGGTCTCCACCACCGTGAAGCGGTCCAGCGAGAGCACCGAATCGTAGGAGGAGCGCGCCTTCAATGGCGGCGATGAGGATGTCTGCTGTATGTTGGCTATTTCCGGCGTCACAGGTGGTTGGCGGGCGTGTTTCAGGAAGAATCCGCTGTCCGGTGCCTCAAAGTGCACCTCCACAGAGTCTATGGGGATGGGGAGATGGAAGGTTGATTATAGAGAAACACGGCGTGGTGGGGGGGGGGCAAATACAGCAGGGTAGTGGGTGGAGACTGTTGGGTGGGGAGGAGCACGGCTATTTCTCGTATTTCAATTTAAACTTACATGCAATGGACACCAGCATCGTTATCACCAGGCAGAACTTCATGATGATGATGGGATGAGGAAGGAGTCGGCCTCGTATTTCAATTTTCAATTTACAATTTTCAATTTCCAATTGATTTTCCCCCGACAACGACACCGACAACGATAGATACCGTTACCCGCGATGTATGCACTTTTATTTTTGTAATTTGTTTATTATTTTTGTAGTTGTATACCCGGTACTCGATGCGTTTACGGATATATTTTATATGATTTTTCTACCACGCCACAGCCCCTACTACCATTTACAATTGTTTTTTTTATTTTTCGTCTTTTTTTGTATTACCGTTACAAGTGTTGATTAGAGGAAAAAAAATGTTTCGTTTTTTTATTTTTGGTATATTCTACTCCCGAACGAATGGGGGAGGGGTGTTCTTGCCAATTATCGAACACTTTTCGTTGTTGTCCCTACTACCACTATTCTGTCGTTGTTTTGTCCTTTTTCGCTCTGCCAGCAATGAAATCCACAGCACATCCTTTATTGATTCTTTCAGTGTGCTACACACACACACATGCAGAAGCCCGCACTGCCATAGTAGCCTGGCTGGGTCGCTCACACACACACTCGCCAACGCACCCACAGCCTACACACCTACACACGAGAACTCTCCCGCACGCACACCACTCTATACAGTTACTCTGTAGTATAGACACATCTTCGAGGCACGGTTCTTTGGTTTCCTTTTTGTGGAGCTGGAGAGCACAAAGTGTGTGTGTTGTGTTGGCCTTCGCAGGCGCCTATGGACTTCTGCGAATCGTATACTCGTCGGGATGCATGTAGTCACTGGCTTTAGCACTGTTCAATTAACACTTTAATACATGGTTTTTCTTGGTTGGGGTTTTATTTTTTTAACACAAATATCGAACATTTCCAAATACCAGTGTGACCGCGGACTTATCAATAAAATATACCCGCCTGACCATCAGAAATATACCGAAATATGCCTTCTCATTTTCAAAATACAGATATCGTAAATATCCTGTGGGAAAAAAACGAATTTAGCCCACGTAACCCCTCTCTATTTAAACAGGTGAACAACTCAAGTTAAGCCGCCGATTTTGATATTCGGTTTAATATTACTAGCTGGCTAGGACTCTCATCATACTGAACACATAATTTTTGCCCTGTTGCTTAATCAATTGTCTACAGATTGGTTAGTTTTCAAAACAGCCGTTTATTGGATTGTCGACATAGTAAGATTCAAAAAAAAAAAAAGGTTACTAGGAAATAAGAGCATATAACGTAAGTGGGAATGAAATTTCACGTCATTTGACCATTTGTTGCTTTTCAACCGGTAGTATGGGCATTTGTGTAGAAGAAAATCCCTATGTTGCGAACTATACATTGGTGAACACGGGTGAACTAGTTCTTTTGTTTCCCTTTCTTGGCAACGGAGGGGTTAAAAATGTTAACAACGTTGCTAACAGAGAAAAATCACACGGAGGTAAAATTGAAAATCATGCGTATCTGAGTTTTGATACCCAAATGGTCCTTAAGACACCTTTCAACCTTCCTAGCGATGCTAAGGAATTTCCACGAAAATGATTTCCACGGTATATTTACGGTATTTCTGAACACAAGAAGGTATACTTCGGTATTTATCCCAGAATCATGCGGGTAATTTTAATTGATTAGACCGCGGTCACACTGCTTTCCAAGTTCAAGCAACAAACAAAAAAGACGGGATCGAAAAATAAAGTGCAGCCAGTAAAACCGAGTTGTACGAAGAATTGAAAAGTATTAACCAAACAGGATAGCAGCTGTGAGTATTAACCAAAAAAAAAAAGACATAAGCCACGCAACGACAGCCCAGCCACACAAAGGGCGCTATATTCCACCCGAAAAGGGCGTGTGTATGACTCAGAGTCGGCAGAGGCCGTGTCTTAAAAGAAAACAATAATTTGTCATGCCTACATTTCGCATATGTGTGCGTTCATTTGTGGGTTTTTACATGGAAATTGATAAATCAGCATTTGCTGATCAGATGGTGTTGTCTACCATTTTGAACATATTTTCAAGGGGCCCCAAAAAACGCCAACAAGTCAGCCCCCAAGAGGCAGCAGGCGGCAATGACAGATCTTGGCGACGGGCTTCAGCTGCTCTCTGTCTGTTTTTATGCCTTTTTTAGTCATTTAATTGAACTGTGAATGCAGGCTTTGTAAGTGCGAGCGTGTGTGTGAGAATGTTTTCATTGAGCCAAATTTGTTGCGGCTACTTGAAAATACCCTTGCAGAAAAAGAGCATTATTATGTGGGCAGGATGTTTGTAGTGCATACCCAGAAATCATATAAATCATTCGTTTGAAAACGACACTTCCTGATGATATTCCATATAAAAATCAAATAAGTAAGTAAATGAAATCAATTAATTCACACATTGAGCGATCGATTCGAAAGAGTATGAAAAGCTTCGCCTTCCGAAGCTTGTTTTCGCTCTTTCTCTCCCCTGCTGTTAACCGCAGTTCAACAGCATTGATAAACGCTCACACACGGACACACACACGCAAACAGACTGCTGTGTGCTGTCTCCCTCTTTTACGTTGACGTTGCCAGTTTTTGCCATTTGCGCGAGTGACTCAGAGATAGCAGAGCAGAGCGGCGCATACGTGTATGTGTATGTGTGTTTGAGTGAGTGTTGACACAGTTTGGGGGAGCACGACGATGAAAAATCAGCTTCATCGGAATTTGTCGGGCTGCAATATGTCTATATATAGCCATAAAACACGCACACACATATTATGTACACTCCACATTAATGGATTCTCCTCTGACTTGGTTAGGTCCACGCCGCACGCCACACCACACAACACCGCATCACACAGAGAGAGAGATCCACTTCAGCAATAACGATGTCATCACGCAAAACCGCCGGTCGCCGTGCCACCACCAAGAAGCGCGCCCAGCGCGCCACCTCCAATGTCTTTGCGATGTTCGATCAGGCCCAGATCGCCGAATTCAAGGAGGCCTTCAACATGATCGACCAGAATCGCGATGGCTTCGTGGAGAAGGAGGATCTGCATGATATGCTGGCCTCGCTGGGCAAGAACCCCACCGATGACTACTTGGATGGGATGATGAATGAGGCACCCGGTCCGATTAACTTCACCATGTTCCTCACTCTGTTCGGTGAACGGCTGCAGGGCACCGACCCCGAGGATGTGATCAAGAATGCCTTTGGCTGCTTCGACGAGGAGAATATGGGTGTTCTGCCCGAGGATCGGCTGCGTGAGCTGCTCACTACAATGGGCGATCGTTTCACAGACGAAGATGTATGTACCCTCCTCCGCTCTGTATGGAAGCCTATCGCTTAATCCGTTCTATATCTCTGACTCTTCCTTTAGGTGGACGAGATGTATCGGGAGGCGCCGATCAAGAATGGGCTGTTCGATTACCTCGAGTTCACGCGCATACTCAAGCACGGTGCCAAGGACAAGGATGAGCAGTAAATCCAGATGCGCCACCAGCCGAGCGGCGTGCACCCAAGCTGCCTATCCAATCCAATCCAATCCACTACTCCCCTGTCCACTCCACTCCAGCATGGAGCCTGTCCAAAATTATCCAAAATCCATCAAGAGTTTCGTTTTACTATAATTACTTTATATTATTTTTTTTTGTTCTCTTGCTCTTACTATCCTACGATTCCTGTACTTAACTGTGCATTTAAATTAAACAAAAAAAAACGAACTTAAAAATACGAAAAACTAGAGAAAAGCCAGCAAATGTTATGTACGATATTTTAGTGTGTGCGAAGATGAGCCAGAGATAACAAGCAGCACCGTTTTCCCCCAACTTTTCATAAGTATTAACTCATTGAATATACATATACACATACATATAACCTATATACAAATACATGCTTATATACAAGAATGTGTGGCAATAAAAGAAGCATTTGTTTTCCTAACGTACCTCACGTACTCGTATCCACCCAGAGACAGACCCAACCAGACCACACGCCCACGACCAAATCCAACCGCACTTCAGACACTTGTTCAAACAGAAGCCAAACATTGTGTTTCACCAAGTTGTTATTTGAAAAATCTAGCAACTGTTATCTAAGGTGGTGTCGCCAGCCGGAAGATACAGCTGCTGCAAGCAATTCGCAGGGCAATGGAACAGATTATGGCATTAACCAATCTGAGCAGCAGCGCCCGGGGGGGGGGGAGGAGATATACAAAATATATCAAGATGCAACTATAAACTAAGGTATTCAGAGATATTAAAATATGTGTAAATTCTATGTACAATCAATGCATTTAATTAGGACTAAACAGATATCTAGTAATGGCCTCTGCAGCAGCATCCAAAGTATACAAGTGTGGTGGACTGATTTGTGGGCTTAGTCCACCTTCTTTGGCTGGGGCGCGATGTCGAAGCGACGCTTTGATCTCGCCTGATAGGCATCCTTCAGCTGATTGATCACATTCGCAAACAGTATGGTGCCGAAGAAGACCAGAATGGTGCCGATCCAGTGGTTGGCCGTGAACGGATTGCGGAAATACAGAATGGAGAACAGAAGGGAGACAAACTTGCGCAGCGTCACCACCAGGGTGACGGTGAGCGAGGCACACTCGGTGGTCAGCACGTAGACGGCACTGATGCAGACGTACTGCGTCACAACATTGCAGATAAGGTAGAAGAGCATCAGCGGGAACTTCCAGTCGAGGCCCAGGGCGCTCAGGACGGGGACAGCCACCGCCTCCGAGGCGACGGCAATGTTGAAGTGCTGCACAATGTTGCCGGCCATGAAGAGGAATCCGGGCAGGGGCAGCATGTGGGTGAAGAAGAGCGCCTCGCTAGGATGCTTGCCGTAGCGCTTGTAGATAACCTCCTGGTAGATGCCCATGTAGGCAGTCACGAGGAGGGCGATCGTCAGCAGGGCAATGCCCACCGACCACCAAAAGAAGTCCGAGTACGATGTGGCCACCTTCAGCGTGTGGTGTGTGTTGTCCTTGACATCGCCGCTGGACACCAAAGTGCAGAGCACAATGCCCGCCGTAATCATGGCCACGGAGCTGTACTGGCGCAGGTTGTAGCGCTTCTTCAGCAGTATGATGCCCATAATCATGTTGGCCATCAGCGAACCGCTGCGGAAGATCATGTGCAGCGGCATCGCAATGTTGAAGTTGAAGGCGTAGTTGTTGCACACGTTCGCCCCGAAGAAGAGCAGCACCAGGATGACATAGTCCTTGAGGGCGATCTTCGGCTTCACCGTGAAGAACTTCGATGTGAATATCAGGCCCTCCAGCGCAATAAACAGGAACTGCGAGAACGTGATCAGGTTGCCTGCCCCCGGATCGATCTGGATGATCAGCTCCAGGAAGACCACATTGCTGCAGCATCCAATGAACACGAAGAGCATGCCCAGCAGGGCTTTCATGTTGAAGGCCATGTCTCTGCAATAGCCAAAAGGAAGATAGACAACAGTTAATAAAAGTCAAGATGCTCTCTTGGCCCACTCTCTCTCAATGTGTTTCCAAGGGCGAGAGGTAGATAGATAGATAGATAGATCGTTTGTATGTGGGTGTCAGTTAACAGTTAACAAGAAAAGGATAGCCAACGCTTGCTCTCTCGCTCTGTCAATCTCTCCGAATTCTCCTGTCTGTAAATGCTCGTAAATGCACATCACGGAATCGGATTGTCATCATGTTACTAACAATTTGAGTTGTTGTTATTATGAGGGTATTATGTATTATGATCACTTACTCACTTACTTAATGATCATGACAACTTTTATGTCTTTCTCTGGTTGAAACTTTGCACATCGGGAGCTTTATCTTAAATTGGATTTGTAACCCTCATTTAGGAAATTTATATTACATAGCTTTGTTCTCACAGTGCTAATTGATTTGATCGATTAAGAGGTATATTAACAGTCTCCACTTGAAACTAAGCTGATAATTGAGTGATACGAGAGACGGAGAGGAGAGGAGAGGAGAGGAGCGGAGCGGAGAGTCCCAGAAGGTGTAGCCTTCAATCGGTGCGCTCTCAGCGTTAGTCGGCAGATTTGGTGAGCGGCGAACGACGATTGTCACGTTGCTCGATAAAGCTATCGCGCTCTCGCGTAGCCTTAGATTAAATTGAACATTTACTTACCTATCACTGTATTGATGCCGTATGAAATGCCAGTTAGTCCGGTTGCTATACAGATAATGGACAGATTTTGGACGAGGTTCTGTTCTGTTCTGTTCTGAATGTAGGAATTTCAAGATTGATTATATCAGTTGGTGGGTATGTAAATATATTATAACATTCAAACAAGCTGTTCGACACACACAAACACGCGCACACAAAGAAACATTCACTCTTCAAGTGGGAAACGGAGACCCACCTGGCTAACAACAATTGATTCGCTCGCACTCTCGCGCCACACACAGAAAATAAATTGTTCTTGGAACTGGCGCGCGACCTTCACAATGCTGCTGCTGCTGCTGTTAGCTATGGCTGCTGCTTGCGACTGCTGGCCGAGCACATTTGAACTAATAAGTTATAGCTTATAGACGGGAAAAGGGGAACCTACATAGCCCTAGCCCCCCACACAAACTATCGAAATCTGTTTGATTTTTTGTTGTTTTTGTTTCAAGAACAAAACAGCTGTACGTGCGTAGAGTGTGACCAGCCCGCGAAAGCGGAAAAATTACCGACAAGATGGAAGCTTTAAGCTGTGCTTTCTTCGATTGACGATAAGTCATCGATCGTGTCAAGTGGCGCGATAGAATTTAAAATGTGAGAATGAAAGCTTTTTTTTTTTATTTGTTGGTTTTTTTGTGGTTTTTAAATAGCCCAAAAAAATGTTATAAAAGAGCAATTAATGATGGTTTTTATGTTGCAGCTTAGCTGGAGGTAAGACATTTTTCAAGTGCTTATACAATTGTATAGTATTTACATCCCATAGATTGTATAAGTTAACGATGCTCGGAGAGATAACTGGGGGATGATTAGCAATATCAGCCCCATTGGGAGATATCTTTGACAGATTAAACACGCAATTGGTGCCATAATTTAGGAGTATAATTATGTGTGGGTGCCATTAAGCAACTAACACAAAGCGCTATCGAGGTTTCTGGCCGGCCATGCACTTGGCAGCGCACCACCCACCCACCCCGAGTAGTCTTCGTGGCCAGCAGAGAACTCTGTGGATTGTCAGAAAGATCTTGGCACTGGGCCCAAGCTGAAGATGAACATGAAGCTGCGGCATTTGTTGATTCTATTAGCTGTTTGTGTGGCAGGCAGCTATCAGGTAAGACTCCTCCAAGGCAGCCATTCCGATTCCTTGTGCACATTTTGATTCGATCCGATTTGAAGCTGTCGCTGCCCGATGACCCCACCTACTACGCCGGCGTTGTGGAGCACAGTGTGGCCGAGGGCACACCCAGCGAGCAGACCAGCATTATGTCGAATGCATTTCGGACCATTATCGAGTCGCCGGATGCCCGGGATCTCGACATCATTGTCTTTCCGGAGCACATACTGAACAGCCGCGAGACGGCCACCTTTGTGCCGCATGGCGCGCAGAATGTGACGCCCTGCTATGCCCCGGACTATGAGGTCTTTCTGGTGGAACTGTCCTGCGCGGCCCGCTCGCGCGGCGTCTACGTCGTGCTGAATGTCGTCGAGAAGGAGCTGTGCGCGAATGGAGCGGGAGCGGCCACGCTGGACCCGTGTCCGCCGGCCACCGGAGTGCGGTACTTCAACACCAATGTGGTGCTGGACAGGCGGGGGCGCGTGGTGTCGCGCTACCGCAAGACGCATCTGTGGCGCCGCGAGTACTACAGCACCTCGGTGCTGGTGGAGCCGGATGTGGCCATCTTTGAGACGGACTTTGGGGTGACCTTTGGGCACTTTATCTGCTTCGACATGCTGTTCTACGACCCGGCCATGCGGCTCATACACGAGCACAACGTCAGCGACATCATCTACCCCACGTACTGGTTCTCGGAGCTGCCGTTCCTCAGCGCCGTGCAGCTGCAGGAGGGCTGGGCCTTTGGCCAACGATGTCAACCTGCTGGCTGCCGATGCCAGCAACCCCTCCGGCCGCACCACCGGCTCCGGCATCTATGCGGGTCGGGCCGGCCGCCTCACCGCCTCCATCAACGAGATGCCCGCGCGCCTGCTGCTCAAGGCCCACGTGCCCAAGCGCCGTCCGGGCCTGCCCGCCTACCAGCTGCCCGCCCAGCTGGATCCCATCTTCCAGCCGCTGCTGGAGACCCCACGCTACACCAAGGTGGCCACCTACCGCGACTACAACGTGGACATCTTCACCAGCACTCTGCTCGACGCGGACTTTGTGAACATTTCGCAGCAGCTCTGCCATGGCTCCGCCTTCTGCTGCGACTTCCACGTGCAGCGGCAGGCCTTTCCAGGCGATGCCTCCGCCCTGCAGGCCTATCGCTATCGGCTTGGCGTCTACCTGGGGAACGAGACGACGCTGATCCGAGTGGACCGCAGCGAGCAAGCCATCTGTGCGCTCTTCGCCTGCCGCGATGAGGAGATCCAGAGCTGCGGCTACGTCTTTCCCGAGGCCAGTCGCGTGGGCAACAAGCATCACTTCACCAGCATCCGGATCGGCGGCACCTTCCCCGCTGCACCGCGTGGACGTCGCCTCATCATGCCCAGCACTCTGGATGGCCTCTTTATGCCGGTGGCCGTCGCCCACTACAACTGGTCGGAGGCCCCCGCGGCTGCCGCCCACCCTCAGCAGGCTGTTCGTGTGGATCTGGAGCTGATACGGCCGCGCAACGATATCCTCACGTTTGCCATTTGGTCCAACTACTACACGGAGCTGCCGTCCACCCACAATATGGATCACCTGCAGCCGAATGGTGGCGCCACGGTCACAGTCACAGTCACAGCTCCACCGCCCGCCGTCGCTCAAACGCCAGCTCCTGTTGCTGGCTCTGCAACGGATCTGGCCTGCACTTTGTCCCTGGTATTGGTCTGCCTGCTCTTCTCGTCTATGGGTCCAGGTGCCGCCAACTGAAGGGCAGCTTTGCGTTCATCGAGCAAAGGGCTGTACACACTATGTGCAATTATATTATTATTTTAGATGCAAAGTCAATGTTTCTCTTCTCAAAATAAAGACGAAATTTAACACAAAAGCCCAACGGAATGCTTGCGACTTTCTGTTCCCATCAGTCGAGAGGAAGAGTGAAATAAAGCGAAGGCAGCAGAAGAAATCGCAGACAATAATCATCAGTTCTCGGATCCTCAAACTCCTTCCTTTGTCTGTCCAAGTGCTGATCTTTAAGCCACTGCCACTCCACTCCAGCAACAGCAGGTAGGAAGTCCGAGTGCGAATCCTTGAACGAACCACTGAGGCTTCGCTTCGTGACTCTCCACCGCTCCACCGCTCCACTGCTCGCCTGCTCCACGTGCGGCATTGGGGCAGGCATTGGGGCAGGCATTGGGTATTTTTGAATGAATCGACGGTTAAAAGTTAACAAATATTCCCGGCCAGCGTGTAGAGTTCGTTCCAGCGCCTGCGCCCTGCTGCGCTGTGGCTGTGGCAGCGACTGGGGCAGAGGCAATGTTTGCATTTCCAACAGGTAGCGACGCCGGCGTCGCTGCCCCATGCAACAGTGGGCGCCGCTTATAGTGAGCCAAGGCGAGGCAGAGCGCCACGAGGCAAGGACAGGGCAGTGGCAGTGGCCGTGGCAGCAACAGCTTCTCTTCTCGGACCGGTCCACCCGCTGGGGCCGCTGTGGAGAAGTCGCTCTGAAGCTGGACAGGATTCACGCTGTGACTTTCCGTGCGATTAAACATCATTTGCTTGCCACCTTCCCCTGCTGCTCAGTGCCAATCGCAGTGGCTGTGCTGTCCTTCTTACCCGGTCCTGGGGCAGAAAAAAACAACAAAAAGTTTCAAGCTCTGAATGGTGTCCAAATGTTTGTCCAATGCGCGGGTAAAAACTTGGCCCAATGGGTTCGGCAGATTGAGGAGGCGGCAGGAGGAAAGGAAAGGCAATGAAACGAAACCGAGGAGTGCTGCCGCATGTCACGCGACAAACTGAAAACTGAGGATAATTGTTAATGGAATTCCCATTGGCAGATTGTTTATGGCTTAGCCATAATATCTCACTCTTTCTCGCTCTCCATCTCCATCTCTCTCTCTCTCTGTCTTTCTACCCGTCTCTTTCCACCATATCTTTCCATAACTTTCGATTCGATTTCGAGGCCTGGGCAAACATTTTGCTCTTTCTTTTTTATAAAAATCAAAAACTTTGTTCTCTCCCCCCCGCACCCCTGATGCTGATTTTCTTGGTCTCTTTTCTTGTATGGTTGGTGGGTTGGTGGGTTGGTGGCATGTGGGGGCATGGGCATGGGCATGGTGGGGTGCTGGCTGCTCCTGTGGCACCTGCCACTTGAAAATTCCACACGGCTTCTGTTACATTTTGATTTATTTGCTGAAATTTATTGTTCAAGTGAATGGAGGAGGCGCGAGGCGCAAAGTTGCCAGCATCAGCCGGAATATGGGCGCAGGGTGGGGTGGGCGGCAGACATACAATAACAGAGTGCTGACGTGTAGGTGAAGGCCGCCGCTACAGCTTGAATCCGCACCCGCATCCCACCCATTCATCAGTTCAAAAAGAACATCAAAAATTCGCATTTAAAATAAGTAAAAATTGAAAATTGATAAATTTACGGCTACAAAATATTTATCGAATGGCGCATGGATGATGGATGTCGATTATCGGTTACGAAATTTCAATTATCCTTTTTTTTTTGGGTTGCAGTTGCAGTTCTCCCAAGTAATTTCCAACATTTAAATTTAATCTAAAAATATTTATATGCGAATTTCTTTATAGATTCCTTTTCAGTTAATTTCTGGTATTCACTCAGAATCAGTTCCATCCATTGACAAGCCACAGTAAACACACACACACACACACACACAGACATTTCCATTTCCATTTTGAACTCCTTCTATTTGCAACTCCCCGCCACCTTGGCTGTGTGGATGTGGATGTGGCTGCCATGCCCCACAGGTCTGAGGCAGAACTGATTGAATTGAATATCAGTTTTCAGGTGGCCCAACCAACCCGAAGCCCCGACACCACCCCCCCCCTTGCCGCCAGGAATGACTGAAAGACTCCCCCAAACAGGGAGGACTGACGACGACTGACTTCTGCTCCCTTTCTCGTTTTCTGGCTTTGGTGTGCCATTTGAATTTGAATGGAAATGATTTCACTTGATTTTCATATTTTTATTACGCTTCCCCTTAGGTCTTACCTTTCACACACACACAGGCACACACACAGGCACACACACAGGCACACACACAGGCACACACATACACATACACTTGCCTTCTCTTTTCCTCTCGTTTTCACCCTGAAGCTATTTTGTTGGGGAGGGCTGGCTGGCTGGCTGGCTGGCACCTTTTTGACTTTATTAAAATGTTGTGTTGTAAATATGTACACAGAAAGGGAGGGGGGAGAGAGCAAAAACCAAAATATGGCATATACATAGAGATACATATGTATGTGCACATGGATGTATTTATCGTACACAAACTGGCACTCGAACTCGTAATTGGCATAAGCAAACTAAAGATAAATAAATTCCCAATGACCACTCGAGTTTTGTCTCAGCTGAAGCGAAAAAATGTTGCATAAACGAATAGTTTATGGTTCATTATTGACTAAAATTAAATATCCATATTAACATAATAATAATTATTATTTTCTATTATTAATTATATTAATTTTAAATGAAATATCACGAGTATGCCACGTGTGGTGTTATGGCTGAAATGACTCTACTAAATTTGGCCAGACACAGTGAAGCACTCTCTTCCACTCGCACTCTCCCTCCCACTCTCTCGCTCCTTCTATCACTCACTTATGTTATATTCCCACTGGCTGGTTGTGGCTTTTATTGCCTTGTTATCTGTTGCTTCTATTGCTTGATCTATTTTATTTATTTCTGCTGCTTTTTTCGGCTGCTGCTTCCTTCTTTCCACTCTCCACGGCTGCTGCTTCTGGTTCTGTTTCTTCTGCTTTTATTCCCCCCATTTATATTTCTCCTGTTGCTGTCGTTTATGTTTTCCCCGCTGGACTTCATTTAGTTTTTTTTTTTGCATAAAAAACGCGTTTAGCAAGCACACGCGGTCAGCCATCAGTCCATCAGTCCATCAGGTACAGGTACAGGTACAGGCCCGCCCCCCTTTAAGTATGCCAACAAAAAAATAAAGTTAAAATCTTAAAAGCGGGCATATTGTACGAGTATGCCACAATAAATACACGCCGCATGCAAGGCGCCAGGCAAGCCTTTTGGATACCCTTACAGTTTCTCTACAGGGTTTCTTCGGTGCAAGTAATCTCTGCCAGATAGAAGCTCAACAACTGCGACATATCCGACTGCAGCTGCTGATGGACTTAACCATAATTAATGAGCACCCTTAATGGCAGCGCAGGTGGCAAACAAATGCACCAAGCGGATGGTACCCTTTGCGGCCAGGGTATCCGAAATGAAAGCACAAGGAAAGTATGAAAAAAACGGCACGGCCTACAAAAAAGAAAAGAAAACAACAACAAAAAAAACAAGCAAAGGAAATGAAGAAAAACTTGATTTATTTTTATGTGCTCGGCGATGCGGCAGCATGGAGTCCAAACAAGGGCTGGAGCACAGCGGCTGTGCTTCCATTCATACAAATGCTACGTGCGTAATGACCAGGCACACACACACACACACACACCATGCCCCTGCCCCTGCCCCCACTCACGCACGCACTTGAAGTTAAAGAAGTTCCACGTTGCGTATACGTAATCATATTCTTTCTTATTTATATATTTTTCGTTACCCAGCCCAAGCCCAAACCCAAACCCCAAGCCTGTTAAATTATACATCTGCATGTGTATATATGTACATTATACCTGCCCCGGAGGGGGCAGTGGGGAGTGGAAAGTAGAATGGGATCGGAGGGCGCTTCCTGCGTGGACAAGTGGCCAAAAAAGAAACACACACACCGAGGGAAAGCTGCAAATCAATGGGCAGCATACAACAAAAGGATTTGCGAGAGGGACACATGCTGGGCACTGGGCACTGGGCACTGGGCAACGGGAAATGGTTTTCCTTTGGGAAAATCAATCGGAACAGATCACCAATCAAACGGAGCATGGGATGCCATGGATGCTTTTTGATCTCCACTCAATCAGTGGACTATTTAATTAGCTTGGCAAATACATTTTAATGCTGGTAAATATGTTACAGAAAGTAACAGACATCTGGGAGGGAAGGACATCCTCCAGGGCAGGGCCATAAAATACAGCCATGGTGTAGAATAAATAAGAAATTAATTTATAGAATAACTAAATTATAATTAAGACTTAAGCAGATTAGTCCCCGAAAGATTTCGTATCAAAGATCTCTTTGAATGGTTCAATATTTAACCCCCCCCCCACCCAAATCTCTCTTGCAACAGCAGAGAGGAACCATCAGCGGCTCGGACTACGGTAATGGACTACTACTGGCAGCTCCCCGCCCGTGGCCTGTGGCACTGTGGCAGTAATAAAAATGCAAAAAGTAGAAAATGAAATAGAAACGTACAATGTCCCCTCCCCTCCCCACTCCACTCCCCCTCCACGGTGCAATCGTGTGTAAATTCTGGCAATAGAAATGCCATTATAATGGCGCAGCCTCTGAATTCCGTTCCGTTTCGGAACTCCCTGCTGTCCGCTGCCTGCTGCCTGCTGCCTGCTGCAATGTTAACGGAAAATGGAAAATTGTTGGCATCATCAACACGTAGCGTTGACGTGTTGAAAATGCTGAAAATTATCGCTAACTCGCATTTCGGATGGCACATTCAGGGGGATGTCAGGGCAAAAGCTGTGGCGTGGCAATGTGGCGTTGTGTCCATGGAATGCTGGTTACTTTGTCAATAAAATTGAATTTTCAATTGAATTTCCACACACACACACACACACACACACACACACACACACAGAGACAGAGACAGAGACAGACAATGTTGACGGGTTGCAACCAATATATATTCGTATGATTACCCTTAATAACATTTGTCTGACTCTCTCTCTGCTCTGCTCTGCTATGTACATTGTACACACTCTCGCATACATAATTATTGTCTCGGCTTTAACGC